GTAGTGGAAGCAGCAGCTGGTTGATCAGTGTTTGAGCGTGCACCGTCGTTCGCCACAGGTCGGAGTATGAAATTGGATTCATGCGCTTGCGCCACAAGGCAGCATTGGAAAGCGGTTTAGACGACTGTACATGGCATCTTGCTTGACATTGAAACCACAAATAATCTCATAACCGTAGCGACAAGAACGGAAAGTGCTGCCAATCATAAAATATAGAAAACGGAAGAGACGAAGCAGGATGAAGGGTCAAGATCGGAGGCTAACGCACGGAGAGCTCGAGGATTCGGATACGCTACCCCATAGCAAAATGATATGAAAGTGATCAAACTACGTGAGCAAGCTGGGTTTTGTATGGTAGGGCCCAGACCGACAAGAAAGACAAATCAGGACAGACACAGACGAGAAAGAGGCCAAACAAGGTGTAGACAGAGGAGACAGAGCAATCATGATAGAGCCGGACAACAAAGAGGCCGCAGAGAGTACGAACGGAGGAGGTGCGTGCATGAGATCAGTCCGGAGTAAGAGGTCTGATTGTTGGGATAAGCGAGAGGGTGGGCAAAAATGTGCGAGGGCAGGTCTTCTACAATCCTTCCACTGACGAACATGGAGTCGAGCATCCGCACTGCCATGCTTGATGACCATAAGGCTAAGACTCAGAGGCAAGAGACTGTCTTCGTGAGCATGGAAAAGGGGTGTCAGTATTCACAGTGTACGATAGAAACAATGGAATTGCTTACTCATGTGCCGCACACCAGAGCCTTCTCACTTCCTTGTCGGCAATGCGGAATGCTTTTGGCGCCGCCTTGACCAAGGGCTCCATCGTAGTGTGGCTGAGCCCGAATGAGGACGTGATAGTAGTGACGCCGCGGTATACCGTCTTCTTCATCCTGGGAAGACACAGAAAACACCCATACACGTCCGGACAGTAACGTCTGTTCCCATCGAATACCCGCAGTTGAGCCAACTCGTGCTGTGGATCATCGCTGAGAGCAATGTGGAGCAGATTGTCGATTCCAACCCAGGCCATAACATGGAGTCTATCTTGATCATCCTCTGCAGCACCCCACGCTGCGACAAAGCCTGGAGATGCGATCTGTCGCTCCCCTCCTAGCTGTCGCTCTACCTTAAACCCGTCCCCAATTAAGACTCCCAACCAGCAAACATATTTGAAGTGACTATGCTTGCCACCAGGGAACCGCACCTTCTGCGCAAGTAGATACCTCCCGAGTTTCATCGGCGAGTTGGTAGAAGCGAGCTCCAGCGCACGAGTGGGGTCCTGTTTTCCCGTTTTCCCGCTACTAACTCGATTTTTGATGTGAAACTGCTCCAAACTGGCCTCGCCCGCAGGAGACAGGTGAACGCGGAGGGTGTCCTCGACAGTGGCGAGTGTACGTGCAAGAGACGACCCTCCGATAGCCCAAAAAAGTTTTTTGCGAGTGTACATGGTCCATCCTGTCTCGTCATCCCCCGCGTGGAGCTGCTTTACACTGCAACTTTGTACGATTGGTGGAGGGAGCGTGATCACGACCTTGGTGGGGTCAGCGGCGTCCTTGATGACGATTTCAGCCGTATCCGGGTCGACGCACGCCAGGACAAAAGTGAGCTGGTCTTCATATGCCGTGCGCCACCTGGCCGAAAGCTGCACACCCTCCCCATCCTTCCCAGGCAGCGTCGATCCAAAGCAAATCCGGGAAATGGGCCTGTCGCATATCATGGCCCAGGAAGTGGTGTATACCGTCGTCGGATCGAAGTCAATCTCTGTGTCAGACCACTGTGCATGCCAACCCTTCCCTGGTCTTTCGTCAAGTCTGCCATGCTCCTTCCACACCTCAAGCGCTGCCGCAATAAATCAGCCGCATGAGCCAGGCGATACAAATGAAAGCTACGAACCCCTAGCAGGTACCTTCCCCAGCTTGATGTCGCGCTCAAACATCCGTTCGAACTGGTCGGTCCATGCTGCACACAATTCCAACCGGTGACACCAGAGCACCCGATGCTCGACGTGGGAGTAGATCCGGACAGCTTGACCGCCGTTTGCAAGCTCCAGTAGGCACCCCGCTGCACCTCTCTCTCCCGTTTGATGAAGGGTTAAACCGCGATTCCCAATGGTCATCATCTTGCCCGAACATGCTGGGAAGTAGGCACCCCTCGAAGAGACTCCATCGTACTTGTCGCTGAACAGCGACCCTGTTGATCATTGTCAGGTTCAACGTCTACAGAAAACGGGCGGAGAATCATACATTCCGGACTAAACCCTCTGCGTTCCCCCCCTAGGTAGTTGAGTACGTTCTCCGGCCTAGAGCTCCGTAAAAACGTAATCAAGGCCCACTCGATGTCGTGGCGGAGGTGAGCGCCGGTTGAAAGGGTCACAATGCCCTTGCAGGCAACGATCGGGGTGGCGAAGAAGGAGACGCTGGATGATGAGCTTAATGGGGTCCCCGGTCCAAAGACTGCATATAGTGTCATGCTGATGTGATCCATAAGGTCGACGTCTTTGGCAGCGTAGCGACCGAGTAGGTCTTTCATGGATTGCCCGATGTAGTACCGGACGATCGTCTTGTCCTTACATGCCGCAAATGTATCCCTCGCAACTTTAATCCATTTTGTGCATGTGGGGCGTTCCATGGCCTCGGTCAAATGTCTCACTATCTCCTCTCGATCCCCACTAATGCCCATCACATACACTATGTCCTTCTCCCGGCGGCTCGGGAGTTGTCCTGATACCGGTGCAAAGATCTGTGCGAGGCCCGCCACTCCCACCGCACGCTCGCCCTTGCGCCAATCGAGAAGCAATTGCACTCTTTCAGCTGATGGCAGAGGCGGGATTGAAGTCGTAGTTGCAGAATTTATAGGAGTGGCTGGCGGGAGAATGCATGATATGATGTTGGCTACGGCCGCGTCTGGCACTGCTCGGGGATGTCTTTGGTTGCGGCCGGTCACGATGAGGAGCGCT